TATATATCTATCTTTATTAAATATATGTTTATCTTCTCTCGATATCTATATATATATATATATATATATATATATATATATATATATATACGCAAAAAAAATATTTTTTATAGTATGCTATATTTATGAGTTAATTTGCTAAATATCAGTGATAGAGTGTGTGTGTATATATAAAAGTGAACAATGAATATATATAAGATGCTCTGAAAATGGATTCAACTGTGAAACAGATATGTCGTATATTATTGCCGAATTGAATTTTCATCGAAAATCATTGTCTGTATTAATATTAACAAGAGATTTTCTTTTGACATTTTAAAAAAAGAAAACATGCAATTGCATTAAAATATTGATCTTTAAAGTGAATAATATATTTAACAATTCAAATTAACATACTTAGAATTCAGCATTTTGATCAAAGTTGCTCATAATATCGACACATTATGCGTTTGTGTGAAATCAAAGATTGCCACTATTTGACAGTTTTTTTTAAAATGTTTTTCTTCATCCTTCCTCATTTTAATATAACACTTTTTTTTTATGCGTCTCTCTTTTTATCTTTAATTAGTTTTTTCCAGCGGGGTTTTATTAATTTTTTCTTTCATTCAATTAGATTTTGGAAAGATCTTAATGATACGAGAAAGAGCGATAACAGTTACTGGACTTGAAATAAGAACAATTAAAACATGAAAAATGTTTACAAGAAATAGCTTTATTTTTTTTTCAAGTTTAACCAACAGTAACGATTTCTAAAAAATCTTTCTTTTTTTTGCGTTTCACTTTTCTTTCATTCATTCATTTTTTCTTTTGAAAATTTTATTTTTTTCTTATTTCATTCTTTCATTCAGCCTTTGTGTTTATTTTTCTTTCTTTCTTTTCTTCCTTGGATTTTTTCTTTCTTTATTTTTCAATTTCATTTTTTCTATCTTTCTTTTTTTGTTTTTTCTTTCTTTCTTTCTTTTTTTTCTTTTTTCGTTATTTATAAATGTTTTTTTTTTTATATATTCTATCCTTTCTCTAATTTTTTTCATTCCGTTATAGTAGTTCACTTTTTTTTTTTCTTTCTTCAATGGAAGAAACGATTTTCTTTTTTTCGTCTTCCTTCTTCCTTCCTTCCTATATTTCCTTAAATAAAAAATTGATTCCTTCCTTTTAAAAAAAATCTTAACCTCCTTCCTTCCTTCCTTCAAAAATCTTTTTTCCAATAAAAAAATTTCCTTTTTTAAAAATCTCCTTCCTTCCTTTTTAAATATCCTTTTTATTTCCTTTTATTTATATAAACCTTAAGAATTCCCTATTTTTTTGTTCCTTCCTTCCTTCCTTATATCCTTCTTTCCATATATATTCCTTCCATCCTTTTTTTCATTATCGATGAAGAAAAAATTTTCTCGTTCATTTTCGATTCGAAAAAATTTCACTTACGTTTTTCTCCTTGTTCCTTCTAAAATCTTTTTTGAATCTTTTCTCTCTCTTATTTACTCCTTTATCCCTTAAAACAATAATTCATTTTCCTTCTTTATTTACCGCCCTCTCTTTAAAGAATTTCCTATTATAATAAAAAATTTCATTTTGATGTTTTTCTTCCAGAAAAAATCTTTATAGAAAATTTTATTATTAATTTTTCACGTGTTGATTTTTTAGAAATCTTCTTCTTTTCTTCTTTTAAAAAATGATCTAAATTCTTCTTTTTTTAAAAAATGATTTTTTATCTTCCAAAAAAATCTTCAAGAATTAAATTAAGGCTTATTAAAAAAAACAAAAAGAATTTTTTTTTAAATTTTTTTTCCTGAAAAAATAAAGATTTTGAAATGAGATAAAATACTTTTCTTTGAAAAAATTTTTTCAAAAGTTTCATATTCTTTTAGAGGAAGATATTTTATGGCATTATTTTCTTTTAAAAAATAAAAAATTTCTAATAAAATTCTTTTCTTTATTTTTCAAAATTCTTTTTTTCTTAAAAATATTTATAAAAATTTTCCTTATTATTTTGAAATTATATTTCATAAATATAATATATTTAAAAATAAAAATTTAAAATTTTTTTCTTTTGAACATGTTTTAAAAAAAATTGAAAAGATTAAAAAATTATTTTTGATTTAAAGATTCTAACATTCTTCTTAATAAAGTTTCTTCTTTTTTTCTAGCCTTCTTCTAAATTTTTTTTTTTTTCTTTTTTTTTGTTTTTTAAATATTCTGAAAATAATTTTATTTACGTCAAGACTTTTCTTTTTCCTTTTCTTAATATATATATCATGAATTTATAATATCTTCATTCATTCATTCATTCCTTTCATTGTTATAAATCTTATATTTTTTATATATATATATATTTTTTAAAGAAGATTTTTCGAAATCAAACGATTAGATTTTCCAGCCAAGTATTTTTTAAGTGGACAGTCACTTTGGGATTCGATGCTAAGGACCCTATTTTGCAATATTAAGATTACAATTATGATTAAGGATTGAATAGAAAATTGGCTATGGGAAATTATATGGAAAAAAACTGGAATAAGAGATGGGAGAATTAATTGGCTAGGTTCAAAAAATCGAAATGGGTAACAATAAAATAAAAGGAATTTTTAAAAAATTTTGAGGAACAGAGAAATTTTTGATATGTTGAAAGAAAGAAATTTAAACAAACAAATAATATGGGAAGAAAGAAACAACAGAAAAAAGAAGGTAAAAAAAAAGAAAAAAGAAAAAAATATTCCATTACTGCTAAGGAAGAAAGATGTTGAAAAAAAAAAAAGAAAGATTTGAGAGTAAAAAACCAGAAAAAAATTAAAAGAAAGAAAGAAAGAATGAATATAGAAATAAAAGAAAGAATGTAGATAAAAAAATTTTAAAAAGAAAGAAAAAAGAAAATGATTAAAAAAAGTTTTTCATAAAAAAAAAGAAAGAATGAATTAAAAGAAATATATATAGGATAGAAAAAAAAAAAAGAAAAAAAAAAACAAAAATGAAAAAATGAATGTAAAAAAAAAAAAAGAATGAATAATCAAAGTAGAAAGAAAGAAACAAATTGTAGAAAGAGAAAGGACTGAATTGTAAAAATAACTTAAAGAATGAAAGGAAAGAAAAAAAGAAAAGAAAAAGAACAAATTGAAAAATAAAGAATAAAGAAAAAAAAAGAAAAAATTAAAATTAAAAAAGATATGGATGATATAATGATGAAAAAAGAGAACAGGTTAAAGAACAGATCATGTTTAAACACCAAAAGGTATATAAAAATTTTTCTTTAACAACGTTTTTTTTTTCCATTACATCGATGGGGAAAAAAATTTCAAAATAATAAAGAAATTAAATTTAGAAAACGATTAATACATGGTTGATGGCTCTGAATTGTTGATTAAAGATTAAAAAAATTCTTTAATAATTGGGTTCGTTATAAGGTTAAAACGAAAAAATCCAATTTGACGGGGAAAAAATGAAAATTTTTTTCCTCCCTTTTAATGGATTATTTTATATTTTTAAATTATAATTATCTCAAAAAGAATAAAACATTAAATAAGCTGCAAACGGTTGATAATTTTTAAAAACAATAAGGGGACTTTAATGTCATTAAGGAAATGAAAAAGAAAAGCAAAAATGGATGCAAAAAGAAGAAAAAAAAAATGAATGAAATTTAAAAAAGAATGAAAGAAAGAATGAAATGGGAAAGAAAGGTTGAAAGAATGAAAGAATGAAAAAATGAAAGAAAGAAAGAAACGAATGAAAAGAAAAGTTTTGTTCCGGAATAAATGAAATGAAAAAAAAAATGAAAGAAAGAATGATAAGACTTTTTCAAAAAATAAATGAAAATGAATGAAAATAAATAAAGGAAGAAAAGAAAGAATGAAAGAAAGAAGAAGAAGATTCTAAAAGAAGAAAAAACAAAAAAGACCTAAAAGAATGCAAGATTACCTTGCAAAATATTTTACCGATTAAAATTTGATAAAAATTGCTCACTGAAAAATGTCATGATGCCAAAAGACAAAACCCTGGTACCCCAGAAAGAAATGAGTACGTAGAAAAAAGGGAAAAATGGAAAAACAAGGTTTTATCCTTAATAATAATAATAACCAATGCTAATAATAATAAGGAATAATAATAAGATACATATACTAAAAAATTGTGTCAGCCCAAAATGCAGATTCTGTGATAAATATCCAGAAACGATTGATCATCTTGTATCAGGTTGCACGGTGTTGGCACCCACTGAATATAAAACCCGACATGACAGAGTGGGCCAATATCTGCACTGGAAAATCTGCAACTTCTACGGGAAGGAAACTGAAAGAAACTGGTATGAACACCACCCAGACCCGGTTACGGAGATAGGACCTGTTACAATTCTATGGGACTACACAATACACACTGACAGAACAATCAAGGCCAACCGCCCAGATATTGTTATTAAAGACCACAAACAAAAACGGTGCCTCCTTATTGATATGGCAGTCCCTGCTGACTGCAATGTATCTTTGAAGATATTCAAAAAGTTGTCAAAATACAAGGACCTTGAAATAGAAATCTCGAAAATGTGGCATATGGGAACATCAACAATCCCTGTTGTAGTTGGAGCCCTAGGACTGGTTGGAAAAGATTGCAGTAGACTAATTGAAGGGATTCCTGGAAGTCCATGCCTCAAGGAGATACAAAAAATTGTTCTGACAAGTACAGCCCACACTTTACGAAGGGCTTTATCTATGTAATTTTTTTTTTTTTTTGTCAGTGGAAAGTGTCATGACGCCATTTCTAACCTTAGGTCCCTGGGCGGGACCCGGAAAGAAATGTGTAAACGCCAGAAATCAAAGAAAATAAAAATAAAATATTTACGTCATTATCTTTATCTGGAAGGTTAAAAAACCACAAATGGAAATACAAAATTTTGTGATACTTTTGCACAAAAGAAAAAAAATCGATCACAAAAATTCGTAAATCTAGTCAATTCAAAAGCTAATATTGAATTTTTAGACAATGGAGAAAATTTCTCAAGCAATCGTCCGATGAGTGAATTATTTTGAAAATCTACGCCATCACATATTTACCTACACCGCCATTCTTATCATCCTTATCACAAGATAAAATCAAACCCGATCTACCAATTTTTGGAGCACCAGGCGAATTTACAGAGATAAAAGATTATTGGAAACATGCTGATAATTTCATTCGACATTATGTTAAGCGCGGCTATCAAAAATCGTGACTGAAACAAATTGCCAATGAAATAGCAACAAATAAAGATTACCATAATTTTATAGCAGGTCAAAACATTGAAAAACATTTTTCAAATGACAGAATTCCATCAGTCATCAATTGGCACCGAAATTTCGTTGTAATTTCGAAAATACTACACGGCATCTATGAACACATTGCGCAAAAATATTCACATTTTAAAGAGATCGTTTCCAGGACGTCACACTTTTTTTTCAAAAGGAATAAAAACATCAGACAAATTTTTGACAAATCTAAGAGTCCACATTCAAAACAACATTGGAGTTTCGGATCGTTGTTCTCAGAAAAAATGACTCAACAACATGAGCCAAGTTAATTTTAAAACAAATTCCAAGAGGACAACGCGATTTCTACAGAAGAAATTTGTACTGATTGAAAAAATAATAATAATACTAATATAGAGACATGTATGCACTGGATGATATGCAACTTTATAAGCAAAATCGAAACCACTAAGAGATGGCATGATACCAACCAGAAGACACAGTTACCCCAAATAACGATATAACTATCCACTGGGACATACTTATTCAAACTGACAGGAAATAAAAGCCAACAGACCTGATATTATCATAAAAGATAAGAAATTCAGGAAGTGTATGCTTACTGAAATAGCAGTACCATTTGAGAGAAACACCTTCATGAAAAATATTGAGAAATTGTCCACATGCAAGGACCTAGAGATCGAAATTAACAGGATGTGGGGAATGAGGACTGAGACTGTACCAATAGTAATCGGAGCTCTTGACAAAAGGAATGGACAATTTTACTGTCACATGTAATCTCAACATTGAAGTTGCCCAAATGATCGCCCAACTAGGAAAATCTTTTATAATAAGAAAAGGCTAAACAATTAAAGAAACATAAAATGGATAAACAAATGAAAAAGGTACATACATACATATATAAACAGAGTGGATTCAAAATGCACGTTCTATGAATAAATATAAGAAAATAAAGAATATTTAATCTTGAAGGATGGTTTCTATTTGCGCCAAAATGAATAAAAAAATCGTCACGATAGAGTTGGAAAATATTTACACTGGACAATGTGCAAATATTTAGGAAAACTTTTCATTTGTTAATAAACATTGGTAAATTAACATCAAGACAGCACCAGTTAAAGAAGACATCACAAATTCTATGGGAAACACCATCTTTAAAAACAGGAAGATTGAATAATCCTGGACATAATTGTCAAAAACTAAAAAGAAAAATAAAAACTTGAACAAATTGATATGAATGTAATGCTTGTTTTATCGATTGTAAATAGCAACCAAGGAATTTGAAAAAAAACTATCGAAGTATAAAGACCTAAAGAAAAATAAGAAAATTTGGAAATTGAAACCAAACAAAAATGTACAATTAAATAGTAAAAGGTTAAGAAATGGAATGATAAAAAAGATTATGGAACAATACATTGAAAAAAATGACACAGAAATTCCCAATTTCAGAGAAATACAAAAATATCTTGATAATTTACAGCCCCAAGTGAAACTTTGGTCGTTTTTGTCTTTAAACGCTAATGAAGTTATGGGAATTAGAAAACAAAAAATAAAATATTGCTATAACAACACAATTTATAACTCTTCATTTAGGTTTTCAGAAAACTTGGTAAATCAATTTGGATCAGAACAGAAAAAAAACGATAATAATAATTTAATAAATAATAATAATAATAATAATAATTATGAACCCGATCTTTTGAACAGGTGTAGAGGTTTACTATTTATCGATATTTCCTCAATAGGAGTAGATAGGTTTGTCTATAGTCCAGTTCACACTCCTTTCCGGTCTTTAGAAAAGGGACAGGATTTACGTTTCTTAAATGTGTTTAGGACTGACTCTCCTATGATTTTAAAATTCTTCCTAAATTTATACTTCTAACGTCTCTGACGAAATTCTGAATGTTTATTTGAAATTTATTTCTTTATTTGGGACTAGATAATAACATACATTCCGCGGTCTAAATGGACAGGAGCAGAATTTCATCTAGAATATTGGGTTTTAATATATATATTATTATCATCTCTCAGTTGCGTTTCTGTCTTTGGAGAGAGAGATTGAAGTCGCGACTGAGGAAAAGAAATACTGGGGAACCTCTTAGGTTTGATAATGAACACATTGAGAGAATATTATACTTTGAAATGAGGCCAGCGCATAAACGATTTTTTGGGAAATTTGTAAAAATTTTTGTTCCTGGTCCAGGTTTAAAATATAAGGTCTCTCAATCAGTAAAAACTGAACTTGTGTTCTTCATCATAAATACCTAGTATGATTATATACATATATTTAATCCAAAGTTTCTATCTATCTCTCTAAAATATTCACTTAGTCTGTTCATATCTATCTATCTATCTATCTATCTATCTATCTATCTATCTATCTATCTATCTATCTATCTATTTTAATTTTTATCTATCTAATCTATCTGGCAAGTCTAATAAATATTTCTATCTATCTATCTATAATGGAATGAACATCTATTGCGATCTATCTATATATTATCACAGTCTGTATATATCTATATTTTTCTATTAATATTTATCTAGGTTCTATTTAGTTCATTATGTCCAATATTAATATAATATAAATTATATATCTATCTATCTATCTATCTATCTATCTATTATCTATCTAATTAATTCATTATCTATCTAAGAATCTATTTATCTAATATTTCAAAATGATTATTTATATAAAATTAATTATTATCTATCAACTAGAATATATATATATATATATATATTTTTGTGTGTGTTCGCTATGCCAATATCTTTTATTTATTTATGTCTATATATTATGCTCACTATCAATCTATCTAAAGAATTGCTAGTAAAAATATGTTTTTTTAATAATCTATTAGAAAATGCATATCTATCTATCTAATGTTCTATATCTAATTCATTATTATCAATCTATCAAAAGAATTTTATCTATCTATCTTGCTAGTTCAAAATGAAAATCATTTGAATGAAATGAAATCTAAATCTATCTATCTATCTATCTATCTTATCTATCTCAATTTGTTCAGTTCTTACTTATCTATTTATAAATCTATCTATCTAGATATCTATCTATCAAATATATATATATAAATGTTTGTGTGTGTCTGAATGTGTGTATTTTATACCCCTTATCTATGTATCTCATTATGAAAATCACTAAAAGGGTTATCTATATTAATAAAAATTGCAAAATGTTCAAAGAAAAAATCTATCTATCTATCTATCTATCTTGATAATAAATATTCATAATTCTATCAATCTATCTTTCTTTCTATCTATCTATCTTGCTAGCTCATTCTGTTCATTATCATTCTTGCTCTCATACTACAGCACCTTCCCCCACAGATACATCGCAGCAAGTCATTCGCTATTTGTCTGCAGCTATTTCCACTATTTGTTCCAACAGTTCAGACACTTACAGCCATTTTTATATATATTTTTTCTTTTAAAAGCTTTTCTTTCAATGGTAGAAAATAAATTAAATGAATCAGGTCCTTATCAGATCAAAATACAATGAAACCCCCGACTATTTTCTTAGTTTGATAGTATCTTAAGCGATCAACTACATGTTCGTGTTCCTCTTGACCTCTGAGTTTTGTTTAAGGCCCAAGAGGTTTTGAAGATATATTAATATTGCCTAAATATTAACCCAGAAAGGCCCAATTACCTATTATATGGATTATCGGATAAAACCTATAATTAATTTTGGATTTTCTAACATAATCATTCATACCAGTTTTTTTTAAGCCTGTAATGAAACCTGGATTTTTGTCCAGACCTATTAGGGACGTCAGATTTTGGTTTTAATTTGTAGAATCAATGCCGGATTTAATTTGAATTTTCCTAATTAATATCGGATTTTAATTTTATCCAAAAAATTAATGTCGGATTTTGATTTAAATTATTTTATTTTATATAAATTTTAATTTTAATTTTTAGAATTAATGTTGATATTTTGATTTAAATTTTCCTAATTAATATCGGATTTTAATTTTAATTTTTAAAATTAATGTCGGATTTTGATTTAAATTTTTCTAGTTAATATCGGATTTTAATTTTAATTTTTGGAATTAATGTTGCATTTTGATTTAAATTTTCCTAATTAATATCGGATTTTAATTTTAATTTTTAAAATTAATGTCGGATTTTGATTTAAATTTTTCTAGTTAATATCGCATTTTAATTTTAATTTTTAAAATTAATGTCGGATTTTGATTTAAATTTTCTAGTTAATATCGGATTTTAATTTTAATTTAAAAAATTAACGTCGGATTTTAAATTGAGTTTTTCTAATTAATATCGGATTTAAATTTTAATTTTTAGAATTAATGCTGGATTTTGATTTGAATTTTCTTAATATAATGTTCTTATTTTAATTTTAAAAATTAATATTTGGATTTCTATTTTACTTTTTAGAAGTATTATCGGATTTTTTATATTTAGAATTAAACTCGTTTTTTCATTTGAATTTTCAAAATTATTGTCATTTTCATAAATAATCTCACGTATTTATTTTTAATTTCATGTTTAATGCGCGATTTATTTTTTATAGTGACCTCTATATTTTTGTCTATATTTTTTTGAGATGAGGTATTATGTACATTATTTACATTATTCGTGGATAAAGGCGTTAGTTAGATCCAGTGACAGGACCCAAAGAGTGTGAGTTCAATACCCGGTTAAGGCAGTGGAGAACTTTCAGAGAGAAATTAACAGGAGATAACTGATAGATACATCCATTAAAATGGCATGTGGAGTTAGAACAGTCTACCCCAGTAAGCGAAAAAAGGGTTCAGTTCGAAATTCCAACCACCTGATGAAGGCCGGAGCGTACAACGTTGTGATAAATATGGCGACAAAGATGGGGACAATAGTCCGAATAATGCAAATACTGTACGTAATACCTCATCTCAGAAATATAGACAGATACTGAAGGGCCGTAACGTTGTAATAAATATGGCGACAAAGATGGCGACAAAGATAGTCCGAATAATGTAAATAATCTCTATATTTTTATTATATTTTTTTCTAATTCATACCAGATTTTTTATTCGCTTGCAAACTGAATTACTATTTTTGCATTTAATGTCGGATTACATATTTCATTGATTATAGTTAATTCAGTATTTACGGGTCGACATTAGTAGGTTAGATTAAATAAAAGATATTCTGTTCATCCAAGTCTATCTATACAATTTTTGATAAATATGTAAATAATATCATGTACACATACATCTCAGAGTGTATACACAAAGTATCTATATATATATATATATATATATATATATATATATATATATATATATATATATATATATATATGAGATAATATTAGTGGAAAATATACATACATATGAAAAATATATCTAAAAAAATTCCCATACATGTATATTTTCAGAAAAAAAATTTTCCAAGAGGAAGGATCCAGGTAGAACTCAATGTCTAGGACAGAGTAAGGATATAATAAAAAGGCTTAAACACTAATATTCCATGGTCATAATTTATTCCATTGGAATCGTAAATACGATCCAAATCATCAGACCTACAAATTCAAAATGAAAACAGAAAAAACAACTCCGGAAATCAAAACAGAATTTAGAGAAAGTGTAAGTATGAGGAGGATGACATGAAACCTTAACAGAGAGATTTTTGGAGATGTGGGTGGGGTGGATTTAAAAAGAGGAGAGAAAAGAAAGTCGACGGATGTCTAATACATAAAGATACATTTCGTGGTGACATATACACACCACAGACAATTCGGATAGGAAGGGAAAAAAAAAAAAAAAAAAGAAAGGGTGGGGGAGAGAGATGGGACGAAGGAAAATAAAATTGTGTTTACTTAAAGGGCCGCTTTGTAATTGGGGTATAAAAGGTTATAAATCAAATATAAATATATGAAGATGAATATAACGATTGTCTCATTTCGCAAGGACCAAATATTTCTATGTTCAAAAACACATACTAATACACACAAAAAAAAACATATACAAGTAGGTACATACACTTAGGCATGTACTCACACACACACCCAGACATACGTGTACATACACATGCACATACATGAGTGGTTTTTTTCTGTTTTCATTTTGAATTTGTAGGTCTGATGATTTGGATCGTATTTACGATTCCAATGGAATAAATTATGACCATGGAATATTAGTGTTTAAGGCTTTTTATATATATATATATATATATATATATATATATATATATATATATATATTATTGTTAATGTATTAATGATTCGTAAGACGACAGATACAGGGATTTTTATATATTCGCGAAGTTTAATGGTAAAGAAGAAGCGAAAAGCGAAAAGGAAGATCAACGTTTTCTGATATTAAAGACAGGGAAAGGAAGACATTGGCCCATCTCGGACGTAATCATACCAACACACAATGGCTGCCGGCCAGAAAACATGACATTTACAAGAACAGCTAAAAGGGGACGACATTTAAGCATTTTCAAGTGGGTAACAACGACAAGCGACAGTCAGACAGAGCCAATGGTTCAAGGAGTAGAGATGTGTGGCCACTTGATAACTGAAGAAGTGGTTGCGCGCATGCGTAAGTGAGTGAATCGTTATAAATGTCCGCCCGACTTCATATGTCCCTTACGTTGGAGACAAAAGGGTGTGTGACTATTAATATCTTCTGGTTTGTGGAGAAATTTATGAGAAAATTTGAAACGATTGTATTAGAGAGAGAGAGAGAGAGAGAGAGAGAGAGAGAGAGGAAAAAAAGGATTATTCTGTAGTATTTGTTGAAGTAAACACGGGTTATAACATAACTAAAATAATTTGCCTGTGTTGTAATAATGATCTAGTTAAGAACTCTACAATTCAGTTAGAGAGAGGCAATGCTTTTTTATGGATTCAAATGTAATAAAAGGCTCTACAATCCAATGAGAGAAACAATGAATTTTTATATTAGTATCTTGAATAAGTTCTCGCTGATTTCCAACAGATAGCGTTGTCAGGACTGCGTGCGTTTAGTTTCAAATGGTAACGCATCTGTAGGGAGACCACAGTTGTTTTCCCTTGGGTTGACCTCGGCCCCTTGGGTTGACCTCGGCCCCTTTAGAGAGGAAAATTCTTCTGTCCCTTTTTAATTTTTGCTCCCGTTTTTTTAGAGGAACGGCCTCTTTACCGTCCTGACACACCAGGGTATCTACACACGTGGAAACTGGTCAACATATGCATGGCCTAGCGAAAGAAAAAAAGTAATTTCTATTCACTTATCTGCGGACGATCAAAGGCCATAAAGTTGGTTATGTTATTTCTTTGTTCTTGTTCTGTAAAGCTCCTCGTTCCTTTGGGACAATATGAACAATCATTTATTTTGGGACATATGTAAATCTTTTTAATATATGTATGTAAGTTGTTTGACTTATTAAATGTTTTGTTTGTTACACTGGCGTATCTCGTCTTTCTGTATTCGCATTCATTGTTAGTGTATCAATGGCTACGCTAATGCTAATATTAGTACTCGGTATACTACTGGGAGGCTAAAACATATTATTCTTCCTAACACAAAATAGTCGGTAAATTCTGTGTGGCCGATAACCTATACTAATACATCTATAAGGAATACTATAAGCAAGCTTGCAATTCAATGTATGCCATTTCAATGTATGCCATTTCAATGTATGCCATTTCGTCGAAGTGTAAACAACTTTGTTTTATTTATAGCGTTAAACATGTCGGATTTCGTACCAAAAGAAAGCGTATTTGTAGGGAATTTTACTGCACTACTTTATTCAAAAGAAATCTGCAGATGAAGCAGAATTCTTGTTGAGACTTACGGCGACCATGCTCCGTCGGAAACAACAAGCAGAAATTGGATGATACGCCTCAAAAATAATGATTTTGAATCACTGAAAAAGTTTGAAGACGAAGAATTAGAAGCATTACTTCATGAAAACTCATGTCAGACGCAAGTTAGGAGTTGAAAAAGCAACAGTTTCGAAAAGTTTGAATGCATGAGGTATGACATAAAAGCAAGGACACTGGATGTCGTACGAGCTGAAGCCGAGAGACGTCGAACGGCATCTTGTCACGTGTGAACAGATGCTTCAACGACAAAAAAGGAAAGGCTTTGCATCGTATCGTGATCGGCGATGTAAAGTGGATACACTACGATAACCCTAAGCGTAGTGGATCGTCGGCTAAGCCCTGCTATGCATCAACATGAACATACCAACCAAATATTCATGGTTAGAGGCTTCTGCTCTGCATTTGGTAGGTGCATTTGGCTGCTCAAACCGACCGAAACAATGACAGTAGATTGCTATCGACTACAATTGATGTGTTTGAGCCGAGCATTGAAGAAAAACGGCCGCTAGACGTGCAGAGACACAACAAACTGATTTTGCAACATGACAACGCTAGGCTACATGTTGCAAAACGGGTGAAAACCTAGTTGGGAACGCTTAAATGGGACGTCTACCCCACCCACTATATTCACCAGACATTGTCTCGTCCGATTATCACTTGTTTCGATCGTCGGCACACGACTTAGCTGAGCAGCATTTTAATTCCTATGAAGTTGCCAAAAAATGGATCGACATGCAGTTAGCCACAAAAGACGTCGAATTCAAATGCTGCCAGAAAGATGGGAAAAAGTAGTGGATAGCGATGGACAATACGTTCACTGACGTGTTTCTTACTTTTTTTTTTTTGTAAATAAAACGTTATTTTTTATGAAAAATAAGCGAGAACTTATTCAAGGTCCTAATAGATAATTCGCGTGACGGCAAAATTGTCCAATTGTTAGATTAATCTCTGAACTGTCTATCCTGTTATCTACCCATAAATGGGGGAGAAGAAGAGCATCCATACCTTTCCCAAGGGTATTAGCACGTATCACAGTTCATTATCTATCTATCTATCTATCTATCTAAGTTCATTATCTATCTATCTATATCAGTCATTTATGTGCCATGCATGATACACGCTTAAGCGATCATGTATCTTTCGATACTATCCATGGTTATAGAACTCGGTCTGTCCTGCTATTTGCCCATAGCTGGGCGGGAGATAAGGAAGATTTCTTACCTTTCTTAAGCACGGAAGTGAATGTAATATTTTTGACTGGAATTCGAACTCGGCTCTCCGGTTCTTTTATCCGAGCCGATATCCATTCCACCACCGTGTACACCACCCATTCTTTTAAAGAAAGAAAAGGTAAAATGATCTCGTGAGAAGTACCGACTTATTATGACTGCATTCTATCAAGCGTTGCTCAACCTCAAGAGAAGAATCACTCACCAAACATATGACATTTGGCGGGAAAAGGTTGGACAAGCAATGAGCATTTGTGAAAATAAACTGGCCATTGTAAGAAGAGACATGACCAAATGATTGATGCTGAGATTAAAGAAATAAAAAGAACTGCAACTAGAATTGATGAATCAACAGAACATGAAAGGGAAGCAGAAATGGACATAAAAAGTACTAACGTCACACGAACCAGAGATCATAATGAAGATGCTGAGATAAACACCGATCATTGTGAAGATACTGCTGAAAGTTTAGAAGAATTGGAAAGGCGTGATCTAAGTTGCTCATAAGCCTGAAATAAAACCATTCCAAAATACATTGAACCGAATTATTATACAGAAAACAAGAATAGTACAGAAGAAGCCAAGCAACTAATAATCATACTTATTATAAAACCAAGGTTGTGTGTGTGTCTGTTCGTTTATATATTGGATCGGATTTCCTACATTTTTCAACCGATTTCAACAAAACTTCACAGGACTACGTAAAATTACCTTGCGGTGGTTCTGACAGCACCAAAAATTGTTTTTCTACGAAATCAATTTAAAAAAACGATTAAGAGGCATCGCTGTTTCGAGAATGAAAGGGGGCAACTCATATCCAGTTATACTTATTATAAAACTCAGGTTGCTTGTGTGTGTGTGTGTGTTCCTTTATATATGCGATCGGATTTCCTACATTTTTCAACCGATTTCAAAAAAACTTCATTTTTTTTGGCAGGTAGTATTTCTTATTGTCTTACACACTCTTTTCTTTATTTTTACATTCAGTTATGCTTTAAAAATTCCATTTACAAGACAATTGTTTATGATAAAATTCTATTCAATCGGTAGATTCATAACGATTGAAAACAATGTTTTTGTTTGAGTTTGGGTTTGACCAATTCGTAAAAAAAAAAAAAAACTAATTAAGACATGCGTGTCCGTCAACCTTAAACAATAATCTTTGTCAATTTTATTTTTCAGTCTTTATGATGGTCGATACTTGATCTATCTCTTACTGTTACATCCCCGGGCAACGCCGGGCTCTACTGCTAGTGAGACATATGTCAGAAACAAAATATTGAAAGGGCTGAACGAGAACAACTCATAAAATTAAAATCAATAAAGTTGGTGCATAATTATTAGGCGTTTTTTAAACAATATTTATTATGAATATAGAAGCATAACAATTCAACAATAACATTTTTAAATGATTATTCCGGAGCATATGATTATCGACACGCATTTTTATAACCTGAAAATAAAGTCTGTCTGTCTGTCTGTCTGTCTATCTATCTATCTATCTATCTATCTATCTATCTATCTATCTATCTATCTCAGTCTGTTCTTATCTATCTCGCTTATCTATCTTTCAATCTATCATAGTCTGTTATATACCTATTGTGTTGGTGCATAATTATCAGGCGTTTTAAACACTATTTATTATGAAAAAAGAAATATAAAAATTCAACAATAACATTTTTAAATGATTATCCCGGAGAGTATCGACACGCATTTGTCTACCTGAAAATAAAATCTCAGTCAGTCTATCTCTCTTTCTGTCTGTTTAGCTATCTCAATCTGTTCTTATCAATCTATCTCAGAATATTTTCTACTATTAGGTTGGTGTATAATTATCAGGCGTTTTTAAGCTATATTTATTATGACAAAAGAAACATAACCATTCAACAATAACATTTTAAATGATTATTCCGGAGTGTATGATTATCGACACGCATTTCTATAACCTGAACATTAAATAATATTCGTATTAAAAGAAGTAAACAAAACAGAAATTTTATTAACAAATAACTCGCCTACAAAAAACGCCTGATAATTATGCACCTACCCAATATTAAATTCTGGGTGAAGTAGACCCACATATAAGTCCCATCAGCAATCACAGAAACTAAAGAATTAAACATCAAAGATAGAAATAAGGCGGTCTAATAGACATGAAGATCCAATTTGAAAAAGAAAAATAGAGAAAGAAATTGAACAACTTAGAAGCGAATTATCTGTACTCAATGAACTGACAGCAGAAACAAATGTAAGGACTAGAAAAAGCAGAAAAATCAAAAGAAAATATAAAGTTAAGAATGAAAATGAAGTTCTTTCATCTAAAGAAAAAATAAAGCAAACAATACAACTGAAGGCTGAAAGAAAAAAAAATCTAGATTCTACAAACAGAACAAGATCTTTAAAACCGGTGCGAAGAAATTTTACAGAGAAATAGGCAAACAAAAATTGTAGTGAAACTCCCCCGAACAACGTAAATGGTTATACACTTCTGGGAAAATATGGGATTGCCCTAAAGAACATAAAGAAGCACATTTATTTAAGCAAGGGGTAGAATGATTGAAAAATACACCAGAACAAACATGGGCAGGAATTACAGAAGAGGATGTTGAATGTGCTCTGAAAAAAAAGAAAAGAAAACGAAAACAGCACACAACTGGAAATCTTCAGGAATGAATAAAATTCCCAACTTTTGGCTCTCTTATCTAAATACAGCGCATAAAAGACTAGACAAAGAACTTCAAAAAAAGGTCAATGACCATGCTAAAATTCCGGCATGGGAAACCAAAGAAATTACCTAACTTCTAAGAATGGTGACACAAATGTTCCAAAAAACTATAGACCAATTACATGCCTTCCTACTACTTACAAACTGTTGACATCTGTCCTGACAAAACAGACATATCCTTTCTTAGAAGAAAAAAAAAGATATACTTCCTCTTGAATAAGAAGGGTGCAAATATGGCTCTTATGGATATAAAGACCAATTACTTATTAATAAGGTGATCTTTGAAAACTGCTTAAATAAAAAAGAAAAATCTCAGTACTGTCTGGATAGATTGCTGTGATGCATTCAATAGTGTACCCTATTCCTGGATCTTAAAGTCTTTAAAAAGCGTGGGCTTGCCTTAAAGAACATAGCAAAGAAACAGATTGGATTATACAAGGGTTAGAATGGATGAAGAATAAACCAGAACAAACACGGACGGTAATCACAAAAGAGGATGTTGAATGTGCACTGAAAAAATAAATAAATTTAAAAAAAAAGAGCCGACAACTGAAAATATCCAGGAATAAATAAAATTCCTAACTTTTGGGTCTATTATGTAAGTACAGCACATAAAAGATTAGCCAAAGAACTTCAAAAAAAAAAAAAAATGCAAAAAAAAAGGTCAATTATCATACTAAAACCCCAGCATGGGTAATCAAATTAATTACCTTCCTCCTACGCAAGAATGGTGACACAAATGCCCCAGAAACTACAGACCACTTACATATTTTTCCACTACTTACAAAATGTTGACATCTATTCTAATAAAACAGATATATTCCTTCTTAGAAAAACAAATGACATACTACCTCTTAAACAAAAAAAGGCTGCAAACGTAGTTCTTACGGATGTAAAGACCAATTACTTATTAACAGGATGATCTTGGAAAACTGAAAAATTACCTGGTAGATTGCCATAAGGCATTAGATAGGGATCTTAAAGTCTTTTAATATATACGAGTTGTCACCCCTTGTCATCATTTTCACCCAAAATCTTCAAGTCAATTATATAAATAGAGTCTATAAGATTGATGAAAGATTTCAAGGTGACACTTTGTCTCCCTTACTATTTTGCGTATCCCTCATAGTATTATCCAGCAAACGTAATGGGACAAAAGAAAATAGGCCATCTATTTTACACGAATGACTTAAAGTTGTATGCTATGAACGAGAGTGAGCTGGAAGGTCTACTGAAAACAGCAAAATGTTTTTGTTATGGTTCGGTTCTTTGTACCACGGTGATAGTCCAAGGTAGAACCAATAAAGAAGAACTCGAAGGCGGATATGGAATAACACAAGATATATTACAAACATGAATATATGCAGAGAGGTAGAAAAGTGTTAGTACGAAAAATCAGGTTTAGTAGTAATTGTCTGAAAGTGACTCTGTTTCGGACTGCCTCTGACTTGACTAACTGACTCGTTCTGACTGACTGACAGACTGACGGACTTCACTCCAGACTTCAGACTTCACTCCAGACTTCAGACGGAACTCCCGCTTCCTCTTGAGGCGTAGTATTTATACGTATGGAATAGTCTATTATGTTATTATGGGTAAGGTCCCATAATAGTTTCATTTATGACATTCGGTTTGAATAAAATTTGCTAAACCACAATTTTACGAGGATCATTACAATAAACCTCCTCTATTAGTTTACACCCTGTAAACTCACACGGTCCTCTACAGATTCTAAGACAAGAACGCTTCTTTCTAAAGTTGTCATTCATCATCAAAAGGCTAATGTTCACTTGATGTAATGAATATGCATACACCTGGTTCCCCCTCACAGTAATATGATTGGTTGGTGTCAGCCATAAATACAGACTGATGCGGAGGTTCAGGGGGACGCCTATTGTCTTCGCCTATTGCCTACCACTACGACGAGGACCAGTCCATTACGGTTACCTGCTAGATTGTCCTACCCCGTAACAGTAGTCAACAACCACTTTGCTACTTCGAACAAATATATCTCTTTCCGGGACATATCAAGACTGTATATACATACCTCCGTGAAGAGGGTGGAAGAGATCTTATTCAGCTAGAACAGACAGCAACTATTGGTTTACTAAAAACATGGAAACAACAAAGGACAGGATGATACAATTAGTCAAACAACACGAAAACAGAAAGACAAAATATTCACTCATGAAAGAAGGTTGTAAATACAAGAGATTTACATTTAGTAGATTCTGTAGAAAACCAAAACAGAACCCAAGAACCGAATGTTGAGACAAAATATATTAAATATAAATCTTTATTTGAAATATTTTACCTGCAGACACTTCAACCTTTGTACTTTGAGTTAACATTAATAGGAACTGAAAAACATTATTTAGGTAAGAAAATCAGGTACTGAAAATTGTAATTAAAAATAGGAAAATTTGAGCTCGGTACTATATACCCATGGCTAGTATTCTAGGGTTAAGAACTGAACTGAATTCTCAGAACAGAATTATGGTCATTAATAGCCTTGCCATCTGAGTAGTTCAATATAGTTTCAACACCTTGAACTAGACTCTAAATGATATGATTCTAAGACATGAAAGCTTCTTTCTAAATATTCATCATCCAAATATTTGATGCAGACTGTTTGTACATACCCCATAAAGAGATCTTATTCGGCTAGAATTGTCATACAAGACAACAACTATTGGCTTACTAACATATATGGAAACTACAAAGGACTGGATGATACAATTAATCAAACACGAAAACAGAAAGAAAAAAATATTCAATCATGAAAGAAGGTTGTAAATACAAACAAGATTTATATTTAGTAGATTCTGTAGAAAACCAAAACAGAATCCAAGAACCAAATTTTGCAGTAAAAAATATGAAAAATAAAAACCAAAGATAAAGCTCTTGAACAGATGAAACCAATGCTAACAAGACAAATCTCTACATGGCCAATATCCAGAACGAGGCTAATAAAGCCGATGTTGGTAAAGTTAACACTCATCGATAGTTATGAATATCTGGATTAAAGGCCGAAATTGAAGGCTTTATCCTTGCAGTGCAAGACCAGAGGTTTTTCACTAGAAACTTTCAGGAAAATATCATACATAATAGTGTAGATACAAAATGCAGGTTCTGTGACAATATCAGGAAACCATAGACCATCTAATCTCAGGATGTTCTGTACTTGCGCCAAATGAATATAAAAATCATCACGATAGAGTGGGGCAATATGTTAATAAATGGAAAAAATGTTAATAAACATTGGTATGAACATCACCCATCACCAGTTACAGAGCGCCAATCAGACATAGTTACCCAAAATAATGATGTAACTATCCTCAGGGATATACCAATTCAAAATGACAAAGAATTAAAAGCCAACATAACTGATATTATCATAAAAGACGAGAAATTCAAGAAGTCTATGCTTATTGATATAGAAATAACATCTGAGAGAAACACCTCCATGAGAATTATCAAGAAATTGTCCAAATGCAAGGACCTGGAGATCGAGATTAACAGGATGTGGGGAATGAAGATTAAGACTGTAACAATAGTAATCGGAGCTCTGGGCCTCGTGAATAAAGGAATGGACAATTTTACTAACAATGTCCCATGAAATTTCAACATAGAAGTTGCCGAAAAGATCTTCCAAATAGGAAAATCGTATATACTAAGAAAAGTGCTATTAATTAACTGACAATTCTCCTATAGGGTCTAGATATAAGGAAACATAACATAAACAAATGATATTAGGTTGGTGCAAAAATAATGACGTAATAATGTCGTTTTTTACGTTAAAAATACATCAAAAAACGACATTATTACGTCATTATTTTTGCACCAACCTAATAATAATAGATACATACATAAATAGTGTGGATTCCAAA